ATTCATTCCGACCAACACACTCATCATGTGGACAAGCCAACAGAGTATCTGAGGAATTCTGTGTCAAAAAAACAAAGTATTCCGTGAATAACTAATAAGCTATAGTGACTTAAATTAAAAAATATTAAAAACTCGAAATCAGTGTCATTAAATAATCATTCAACATTTGCAATAAAATATACTATATATAACTACAGAGGTATTAAATAAAAGATTTACAGTACCATGACTGATGAGGTTTCGTCAGATTCTCGGATGAAATTTGATCTTTCGACGTTTTTTTACAATTTTTCAAGGCATAGATATTTGAAATTGAAGATATAGAGAATAATTGAGTTTAAAAATATGCGTAAAAGACATGCGCAGTAAACACGTTGCGAGTTTTGCTAGGCCTTCCCCCGCGAGTCAGTTCGGATCATGGTTCGGATTTGTTCGGAAACGCGCAGCCTGCAAATTCCATGAAGCCTGTAACTCGCCCGCGGGTGGAAGGCCGAGGAACTAGGCTATGTTCGTCCGAGGTTTATAACTAGCTTATAGACCTTGAATAAATGATTGGATTAAACTTGTAGACAAAACGCGAGAATTTTTCATTAAAAATTTTTGAAAATGACAAAATATGTTGGAAAACCTCCACAAGTGTGATATAAGTTAGTTATAAACCTCGAAAGTCGGTTTATAACTGATATATTGCCCCTCGGACGCTAGGCGTCCTCGGGTCAATATATCAGTTATAAACCTCCTACTCGGTTTATAACTCTTACTTAGACACCTTCGTATACTACATCACTTACTCGAACCGTCCTGACCGCGTAGCTCAGTTGGCAACTTGGCAGAGCATTGGGCTCTCTCTCCTCCGCAGAGCTTTCCTGGCTTTTTAACAATGCAAAGCTTCGATATCAGGCGATTTGCCGAAGCGAGAGATAGAGACGCTAGACTGTAATTTCGCTCATTACAGTCTAGCGCCTCTATCCCTTGTTTATGTCTTATGATATCGAAGCTTCGCCTTGTTTATAGTTAAAAAGCTAGGAAAGCTCTGTGGAGGAGAGAGCATTGGACTAGTATTGCAAAGGTCGTAGGTTCGATTCCCTGCGTGGCCGGGCATATTTTTCAAGCTCGCCCGGTGTGGATATACACTCAGAGTAACATCACAAACATCATATTATTCACCTAAGTACACAACAGCAACACAGAAAAAAAATAGTATGTACAGTGTTATTTTCAAGTTTCTGTCTTTAAATTGTGACTTTTACTGCCGAATTTTACATTTCTGGTCCGAGTTTGCAATAATCTCAACCGGAAATACGACTTTAAAATGTCAAAACAATGCGACGTTTGTATCGTACGACTCTGCAAATGCCAGAAATGGTTCTACAGGTCAAAGTACACCTATACGCCAAGTGCACCTTATTAAAAATTCAAAATAAAATATTTCTACTTGCCATATTCAAACGAAACTTTCTACGCGAAAGCGCTTGAATACAAGGAGTACTCCTATAGTCTTTGGACCTTGAGAAAATGACGAAAAGTTTAGAAGATATTTAACTTTTGCTCGACATGAAATACAGAATGTTTGGCCAAGCGGTGAGTATAAATATACGATTGTTTCGGTTTTTGTAATGTTTTGACGCCACTTGACCCCCCGTTCTAAAGGTTATTTTGTGAGGATTTCATTGTTGCCTTTTGTACTAAGTATATAAATAGGGATAAATACTCGCCGAGTATCTACATTAGAAATTTTGAATTGTAATCAGTGTAATGCGAAACCAGTTGTCGAGAAAGAGTCTAATCCGTCAAAGAGTTTTTCGTTGGATATAGAATTTCCTTCGAACGTACATTTTTTGGTGGACAGCATAAAACACTAAGCTATAGTATCTGAAATTAACAAAATAATATGATATCGGCATGCCAAAGCTTATTTAAACCGCTAACTAGTGTACTATTGAGTATTGATTAGAAATACTATTGACTTGAAATATGCTGACGCGCTAAAAGACGCCGGCATTTCCACTCTCTTCGACAGACGAGCCCAACTATATCAAGTCATCTTTTTGAAGATATTGTTAATAAACCGGATCATAAGCTCAGTGGCCTACTTCCACCGCAAGCACATCATCATAACGATTTAAGGAGTGAACGAAGGTTTAATGTACCTGTTAGTAAGACGGATCGTTTTAAAAAATCTTTTATTATTAGTCATAGCTCAAATATATAAATTTTAACAACAATTAATCTAGGTGATAAATTGACTTACTCTTATTTTTAATTATTCAAAATTGTTGTAATGATGTATATAACTCAATTGTTGTAAATATTCACATAATTCAGTCTACGACTGCAAAATGTTTTATTTGATTAAACGAATCTAATCTATTCTATGCTACGAATGGAACTACGTCTTTGTTTGTCATGAAGTATTCGTTCATATACCAATCAGGGCGCCATATAGGTACCGAACATTCTGTCCCAGATTGTGAACAGGAATCCATAGTTGGTGCTGATTTTCGTGTGGTGCAGAATGTGGGGCACAGCACCACCGAAGATGTCGGGAATCAGATGGTGAGGGGACCACCAGACGTCATGGCCGCTGTGTTCCTCCAAGAGCAGCGCTACGAAGATCCACTCGTAAATCCACAGCGTCAGGGGATGAACGGGAGAGGCAAACATCGGGTACACGATCATGCAGGAGGCGAACACGGTCAGTTCGAAGGGATGAACCCAGCCTGCCGCCCAGGAAAACAGGTCGAACTTGAAACGGTGATGAACCTGGTGAATGTTCCTGTACAACACTGGAATCTTATGGTGGGCAATGTGCTCGAGATAGACGAGGAAGTCGCCGATTAACAAGGAAGTAACCAAGTCTCGGCACAGCTCCCACAATGATGGTGCGTTTTGGGGCAGCTGAATATGATACGGATACACGAACCACATGATTATGTTAAGGACGCCATAGACACCCACCTGTATACCACCCACTCGCAGAATCTCCTTGCCAGAGATAGCGTGATTCTTGCTCAGCCGAGTAGCATCTGACTGCCATGGCCCGATGTCTTTCATTGTGAAGTAAAGACCTGTAGTCACGAAGGCTACCCAGCCGACAATCGCTGGAAATAACCAGTATGAAGCAACATGACTCCAGTGACGGGTGATGTACTCCCACAGGGGCTGAAGAAACAAGTTTGATTCCATTGGCTTTGCGGCTTCTCTCACTCTCAGTTTTCTGTTTGTATCAGTTGGTGTCAGGCGGGAACGATCAATGATTCCCCCACTAGGATGCCGAATGTTTTGATCCGTAGGACACAATTTTATTTATGCACTGAACCACATGGAAGTCATGCATATATACGCAAGGAGACAACGACACACAATACCTTCTTGTTCCATTAATAGACCACTTTCATAATTGAGACAAATTTACACATTCTTTTACTTTAATTAAGTGCATCTAATTATAGTCAAGTATATAAACGCTGGACTGGAATGCGGCAGGCAGAAAAAAATTTTGGGATCACTTTAAGGCTTGGTTACCAAGCACTGAACTATATATGTTGATATGTGCAATGGACCACTGAACGTTACCTTTACTTTCTCTAAGTATATAGCTTATAAAGCAATAAAACGCAAACAGTAACACAATCTGATAAGTAACTGAATTTTATGATGGACACTAAAGTGCCTTATAATGGTTGTAGTCTAATAACATATTGTGACATGAATGCGGCAGCCTTTAATTAGCGGTTCTTACATGGCACCGATTATCTGCCGCGTTCTGGTGTGGGTAAATATTGTTGGTGATCATTGAATAGACCACTTCCGAGTAACGATCAGTGGTTACAATCTACAGCTACACCAGATCGAGCCTCAGTGCTAAATCAATACAGAACATTACAATTTCGCACGGAGCCTCGTTCTCAAGATAGTCTTTGTAGTCAGTATGACAATGTTGCTTAATTCGGAAATGGCAGTTTTAGTCGGGCAGATAGAAGAAAAAACTTACTGATCGTGGGACAATTCCATTTTGCCTTCATATTGTGCCCTGAAGGCTAATAAGTACGTTTCTGTTTGTTGGCCGCGTTAAAATTTCTTGTGGGCTCCTGCCGGCACGTTTTTCTTCGAATTTTGTATTAAACTCTATCACAGTTAAAAAATGTGAAATTTCAAATACATTTCTAATATAAATGACTTAAATCATTTGAAAGCGGGCAAAAAACTACATATAAGACATTTAAACGGTTACCCTGGATTTTCAAGTTCTTCTTTAGTTATGAGCTGTTGAATGCGTGTTTTCAGACTAGTACCCAGGAATTTTGCGAGATTTTGGCTTATTTTTCACATTTAAAACAGCAATAACTCGAAAACCGCTTGAAAATCTCAACTCACCATTTAAATGTCTTACATGTAGTTTTTTGTTAGCTTTCTATTAGAAATGTATTAGAAATTAATGTATCGGAAATTTCAAATTTTTTAACTGTAACAGAGTTTAATACAAAATTCGAAGAAAAACGTGTCGGCAGGACCGAAAAGAAATTTTAACGCGGCCAACATACAGAAACGTACTAGCCACAATATGAAGGGCACAATATGAAGGCAAAATGGAATTGTCCCACGATATGGTAAATTTTCCACAATTTTGAGCCTCTATCTGCCTGACTATCTGTTTAATAATGCTGCCAAATTTAATAATTTTAGCCCTAGTTTTTACCGCATGCCACCGATATATCTTTGTAATCGTTCAATCACGATCATTTTAATAAGAATGTGGTAAAATGAGCAGCATAACAAACCTAACAAGCGTTTTGTTGATCTAAATGACTGCAATTTTATACTGATCTTAAACAATTAAGCCTTAGTTCTGTTAATGCATGCATGTCTGATGTCTCCAATTAAAGTGCTACTAAAGCCGAAAAATAAAGTTCCTATCATTTTTGTATCTGCGCGAAGCGTAGTTTTCCTCGCAGACGCTCTTAGTCTTATAGCTCCAAAATTCTCCTAGTCTGATCTCAGATCCTCTTAGTGGGCTCTAGCGAATCCCACACGAGGGTCTGATGACATTCATACAACATTCCTTTTTCATGTGTTGACCAATTGCAAAATCATCGTATTCAAAACAAAGTTATCATCTACCAGAAAGAAGTTTCCTGTATGTAAAGTTGTACAACACAAGGATTGGGCTGGCTTATACTGCACTACGAGAAAGTGCCTCTGTTACCTGCAGAGAAGAAACGAAGTGCAGTCAAAGTTTTGGATGTTAAATCTGTGGAAACTAGGGACATAAACGCAAACTCCTGCTAACGGAAGACGGAACTGTGTATAAAGTCAATTAGCGATCTAAGCTGGACAATGTGTTTAAAAACTGTTTATTTATGCAACAGAATCGAGTAATAAATTTAGCTACTGTTTACTCGTGTAAAATTGTTATACTTTACAAATAAATTGTTACAAACATTAATCGTTTGTGGTCATGAGTGCCCTAAAGTCACATAATAAAGATCAGTAACAGAAGGGCCACTCAGCGGTGCAACGTGTCCGCGTTTTTTATGCAAAAATATGCAGTTTACTGGCCAGAAGGCGGAGCAGCCAGCCAGTACAGCGTGTTTATTGGACAGAAAATGTCATTGACTGGCTAGGAAAATGGCGGCCAACATGCGTAATGCAACATGCGCAAGGACAGAAACTTCAAAGCTTCCGACGTAAGTGACCCTTCTATATAGGGATCTTTATTCTATGCTAAAGTCGTGTTTACACTACAAGCCTTGGCCTGGCCTTGGCCTGGCCTTGGCCTGGCCTTGGCCTGGCCTTGGCCTGGCCTTGGCCAGGCCAAGGTAAATATGGCCCGTTTACATCATTACACTATTTTTTGAGACTGGCTCACTTTGGCCTAGAATTTTGTAATTAAGTTTGTGTGTTTTTATGTGTTGTGACGTTGTCTACTGGTTGTCCGCTAATCTCTAACTGTGGACCCACGTTGGCATGAAAATAAGGCCCAGGCCCGAAAGTGTTTACATTTCCACAAGCCTTGGCCAGGCCTAGGCCATTTCCACAAGCCTAGGCCAGGCCTAGGCCACCGGTTGTAGTGGGCCCAGATTTCCTGGCCTAGGTCAGGCTAAGGCTAGGCCAAAGTCTGTTTACACTGTCAAAATGTAGGCCAAGGCGATCGAGGTCAAGGCTAGGCAAAGGCTGGTAGTGTAAACACGACTATGAGTGACTAGAATTGCCCTTTGTTGTGATGAAAAGTGCCCTTTTTGTACAAGCTAATGTCGCTGTAAATACTAAATTAACATCAAAGGTTCCCGTTTTGTTTGGAAATTTCAATGTTTTTTAAAAAAATGTGGTCAAAAACGTGCAATTTCGGTATGGTACGAAGGGAAATTTTTCTATACGTTACATGATAATTTAAATTAAAACTGTATGCAAATAATTCAGCGTTTACAACTGCATTCAAACAATTCTGTGCATGCCCTATATTTTACAATAGCTATAGAAATTATAAGACATCATATGAAGATTATTATTATATGGTCAACACGGCAAGAGGATCAGCATCCAATAAGAATCACCAATTTTGCGTAGGTTAAGTCACGATAATGATATTAATGAGGCTTTACGTTCGCTTATGTGCTTCCGTGCAGGTCAACTACAGAGTCTACAGGGGGTCCCAAAAAACCTGCAAACTATTGAAATAACGTATTGTTAAAATTTGAATGTTCGATCAGCACTCTGCTGAACACACAAGTGCATAAAAGCTTGATATAAGTAAATTTTATGCATAAAGAAACTGTTTAAGAAGCTGCTTTAAATTCTCAACAGCACAAAAACGTGCGCTTTACAAAGATATTTTAATTTGTTAATAGGTCAATAATTATAAATAAATGCACCCTGTCAATATTTTACTCATCTTTGCGTTCAGCTTAGTGCTAAGGCATTCAAATTCTAACAACACGTTTTTTCAATAGTTTGCGGGGTTTTGGGACACCCTGTATTTCGTAAAATATACTCGTAAATCATAGTAACCCAGACACACTGTGCGATTTAAATATATATGCTTGGTATACTTAATTACCCCCTGCTGTATCGACCTCACAATGATGATGTCAATGATTAGCTCAAAAATATTCTGAATTTTTATACTAAAATGCATCACTAAACAATACTTGTAAGTTGTTTGTATGTTTGCATGGCGAAAAAACATATAATAGTTTTGTATGTGGAAACACCACGTAAGTTTATTACTGCAAAGCTTTCGATCCGTAAGCCCGGATCTTCATCAGTGCTAATAATATGAGACATATGGATCAACTGTTGGGAGAATGGTTAAAATTTCTGCAGTGGTCTCATTATGATATATAGGTGAAACGACGACGTTGTTGTCGCCATCTTAAAAGCATCCTTGTGTATTCCTGCAGTGCTTGATTAATTCGAGACAGAAATACGTAGTGTAATATAAGAATATGCGTGGGATTGTCAACTGAAAAAAATGCCAGCATCTTCCATGGCATAAAATTAAATACGTAGTAAAAGTAATGAAGCACGCAACGAAATACGTCGCGCCATAACCGCTGAATTCGTTGATTCTGTGTTGATGGCCCGGCTATAAAACTGCCTGTACCCTCACCTCTTGCTTCCAACAGCATCACATATACATACACGAACGTTTTCTACTCCTCTGTCCACTGGAATCCTTGAAGGCCATAATCTTCCATCTTCTTCTGTGGCATTGAGAAACAGGGCAAGGACTGTCTCGGACAAGTTATTTGTACTACATTACAAATATATGATTCCTCTTGAAAATCCATCGATACAACCATGAACAACGAAACTCGAGCTCCGTCGTCTCAACGAATGATGGCCATCTAGATGCCATAGTGAATTTGGCCATGGCACATGATATTTGCGACGTTGCACAATCATTCCCCATCTGAGAATTGCATTTCGTGGCTGCACTATTGTCATACTTTCTCGAATTCGATCTCGCTGGATGCGGAACCCAATGGATCGCAAATAACCAGTAATATACGTCAGCCCTGAGGTAGCTCCATGTCGATTTATGCACTATCAGAAATCAGCTGGTCCAGTTCATCGTCAGTTAAAATCTCCCAGATTTGAAAGACCCATACTATAATAACACGTCTATGTATATTATTATTATTATTATTATTATTATTATTATGAACTATATTTCAACACGGTACAATTTCACCTATACTAAAATTAATTATGTACAAGAGATAAAAAGAAAAAAGGTGATCTTCCAACCGGCCGTGCTCACACAAACAGAAATAAGAAATAATTACAAGAAAATTATTTTAAGTAGATGGAAACAATGGCAGGATCACTTGATGTTAATTTGCATGCTTCAAGTTAGATTTAAAATTAGCAATGGTTGTTGATGCTTTTACCGATGCAGGAAGGCAGTTCCAGACTTCCGCACCTCTGTAGGAGAATGCATTTTTCATACTATTTGTTTTTGGCTTAGGCAATGTCAAATCGGCTCCCGACTGTCTTGTGTTATGGTCGTGTACATCACCAACATTTGTGAACATATCACACAAGTAATCGGGGACCAATTTGTTTTTCACCTTGTACATGAGAATACAAAGTTGTTGCATTCTTCTTTTTTCGAGGTTCGGAACTTTTAGCTTGTTTAATATATCAGCCGATCGTGTCGCATAATTCTCACGAGTGATTATTCGAAACGCTCTGTTTTGTAATTTTTGGACTTTAGCTGCTAATGTTTTCCTTAAGCAACCCCACACTTGAGCACAATAATCGAAATAAGGTTGAATTATGGATTTGTATATTGTTATTAATTAAGGTATTGAATTTGACTGTATCCCGGAGTCGTCTGAGAATAGCAAGGCCTGAAGTGACCTTTTTTGAAATGTGTTCGACCTGCGCGGTCCAGTCTAAAGACTCGTCTATCATTAGGCCCAATGATTAATTTCTAAGTTACCTATACTGATAGCAGGATCGGCAGTCACTTGACTAAGCCTTTTCTTGGAACCAATTATCATATATTCGATTTTACTATTGTTCAGAGTTAATTTGTTTGCGGACAGCCAATTTGCAACATTGTTTAAATCTCTATTTAATGTTTCAGTGATAACTTTGATATCGTCACTTGATGTTGCAATTTGGGTATCATCCGCAAACATATCTGGTTTTGTCCCGGCGTTTAAACATTTTGGTAAATCATTGATGTAAATTGGAAATAACAATGGGCCTAAACCAGAACCCTGAGGTATGCCTGTTTTCATAATTGATGGACTTGATAGTTTGCCATTCACACAACAGCACTGGGTCCTATTTGATAGATACGACTCCATCCAGCGATGTGCCGTTCCCTTTATTCCATAAGTTGCTATTTTGTCTAAGAGTATATTGTGGTTGACAGTATCGAATGCTTTTTTCAGATCCAGAAATACAATCCCATTTAGTTTCCCAATGTCAATATTTGTATACCACTTGTTGGTTATGTCCAGTAATGCTGTAACAGTTGAGTGAAGTGGTCTAAATCCGTGTTGGGAGTTTGAAAGTAGATTATAGTTATGTAAATAATTATAGATTTGGTTATAAATCAGCTTTTCTGCAATTTTGGCAACTACTGATATAACGGATATTGGTCTGTAGTTTGTCATTTCATCTTTAGCTTCAGACTTAAAGATCGGAGTAATTCTAGCGATTTTCCAATCATTGGGAAATATGCCTGTTAAGATTGACTGGTTGAATATTGATGTTAGGGATGGTGAAATAACTGCTGCCGAATTTTTTAAGATATGAGAGGAGATACCATCGATTCCCGATGCTTTATTGGGGCCTAAACCATGAAGTAGAGTCAAAACATCATTTTCTGAAATTTCTTGAAAGCTAGGGAGCCCATTAGCTGGATGGTGTACATCACTGAGAAAACTATCCGGTAAAATTTTCGATTGAGGAATTTTATTCGCAAGTTTTCCCCCTAGTTCAACAAAGTATTTATTAAAGGCATTAGGGATCAGCGTTTCGTCAATTACTTCACCATTCTCATCTTTCATTTCTGGGATTTTCTTATTAGTTGACTTTCTATTCATCAATTCGTTGAGTGTTTTCCATGTTTGTTTTAAATTTCCTGAATTGCTATGTAGTTTGCCTCGATAATAGGAACACTTTGTATCTTTTATTTGCCTATTGTATTGTTTTTTTGCCTTTCTGTAGACAGCCCAGGCATCAGTTGTGTTGGTTGTTCTCGCTTTCTTATGCAGGAAATTATTATGTCGTTTATTGTGAATTAGGTCTGTTGTTAGCCAAGGTAGCCGCTTAGTGCCGACTTTCCGTCTTTTTACTGGGGCATGGTTGTTCCAGATTCTGAAGAATTGATTCTTCCAAATCTGCCAAGATATATTTGGATCGGATTGATCCAGGTCAAAATCGGATAAGTAATTTTGTAGGTCGCGCAAGAATATTTGTTCGTTGAAATGTTTGTAGTCGCGGTATTCGATTATTTTTGCATTTTCTTTGCAGACCTTAAATTTTCTGATGCCATAAATAAGATAGTGATCACTAATGGAAACAGTTGACACTCCCTTTGAAATAATATTATCAGGATTTGTTGTATAAAAGTGATCAATTAATGTCCGAGTATCTTTAGTAACTCTTGTAGGTTCACTTATCAATTGTTCATATTGATACAGTCCTGTAATAAATTTGAGTTCCGAAGCTTGGGGAGATAGACTTGTGGATAAGAAGTCATAATTTACATCTCCTAGGATAATACTTTCTTTAGTGTCATTGTCTATTAGTTGTAAACAGTTCTCAAATCTATAAAGGGTGTCAATTGGATCGTTCGGTGGTCGATACCACGTTGTAATTAAGAACGGTTTAACGTTATGTTTACTAATTTGTATTGTAAGAATTTCAATATCATGATTATTCAGGTCAGTTCGAGGTCGAAAATTTATTGAATCTCTAATGAAAAAACCGATACCACCCCCAGATCTATTTCTGTTTTTGGAAATCCAATTGTAACCTTGCATGGCTATTGACTCGATTGGCACACTATCGTCCATTCGTGTTTCATTAATTGCAAGCACATCTATTTCTTTATCTAGATACACCCAACAATTGCGCAATCTTATTCCAAAAAAAACCATAATCACGCAGGTCTTCTAGCATTTCTGAAGGAATAATGAATGAATGTCGTCCTGGTTGCCCAGAATGGCTTATACCACATTCCATTCTTGTGATCATAGTTGGCCTGGTAAATAGCTCAAGTTGTCGTTGCTTCGAAAAAGTTAGGGGCTCTAAAAAAACACTGGCTAAGGCTATCCAAATGTCATAATCAGGATCGTTGATTTCAGCAGCTGTTCATAGGAAGTTTATAGTTTGATCGAGAAGAGTTATGTGAAACGACAGAGCATTCGCATTGTTGATATCTTCGTCCATCAGATTCCTTGTTCTCAGGGACGCCGGAAAAGGGGGCGCAGGGGGGGGGGCATCGCCCACTTGCTCTTTAGTAAGGGGGGGGGCGAAAGTGCCCTTATAGATAAAAATTCTAACCCAAAAAATATGAGGTACAACTATTAAAAAGTATGAATTACGGGTGAAATGTACGTAATATTGAAATATTCGTGAAATTCTCTGGAATATTGTGTCAAAAATTGTGTTTTCACAATTTTTTGCCCTTGTTTTGGTGAATTAAGGTCCCGGAAAAAATTTTTGGAAACGAAATATTAATTAGTGATTGCCCTTACATCAACATTGCCCTCCAGTGCCCTACCCTCGCTCCGGCGTCCCTGCTTGTTCTGTCAACGAATCGTGTAAGAAGTTGGACAGTTCATCTTCGAGGTTTTGGTCTTCAATACTTGTGGCATCCTCAACAGTATCCATCATGCAAACATGATAATTTTATCGACTTTATTTAGACGTAACTCAATCGTTTCCAGTCACCAAAACCAGCGACAATATTGATGTTGGCCCAGCAACCGCGCAATATTGAATTGAATAAAAGTTTATTGAATTGAATAAAAAATTATTGAATTGAATAAAAGTTTATTGAATTGAATAAAAGTTCATTGAATTCATACAATATTATTGAATTGAATAAAAGTTTACTGAATTGAATAAAAAGTTATTGAATTGAATAAAAGTTTACTGAATTGAATAAAAGTTTATTTTGAATTGAATAAAAGTTCATTGAATTGAATAAAAAGTTTATTGAATTGAATAAAAGTTTATTGAATTGAATAAAAATGTATTGAATTGAATAGAAAATGTATTGAATTGAATAGAAAATGTATTGAATTGAATAAAAAATGTATTGAATTGAATAAAAATGTATTGAATTGAATAAATAGTAAATATTTATTGAATTGATAAGTAAACTTGCTTTTATAATACTGAATATTGGGTTATCATTCCATGTTTCGCGCACCAATATTGGTTAGGGTTAGGGGTTAGGTATTAGGGTTAGGGGTTAGGTTAGGGTTAGGGTTAGGTTTAGGGTTGGGGTTAGGGTTAGGGCGTGTTATATGTGTATGGCGGTATCTAGTGAACTTTTCAGTACACTATAATATCCATTACATAACGTTTACTATATTGGTGCGCGAAACATGGAACGATTACCAATGCCTGACCATCGGTTTGCCATATTCCAACTACATGAAGTAATTGGAATGACAGCAAAAATTGCTAATCCTTAAAAACAGGAATTTTGAATAGTGAGTAGTGAAGTAATAAAGGGAAAAGGAAATTACTCGAACACTGAGGAAATTCGAAGCTACTTTCAAGGAATTCTGGAAGTAATTAGAAGTTTAGAACGGCGAAAAGGAAAGCAAAATGGTTGTTGTCGCGTTCGTTCATCCTGATTTGGGAATTGGAGGGGCAGAAAGACTTGTTGTCGACGCCGCTTTGGCTTTAAAAACACGCGGTCATAAAGTACATATATTTACCGCCCATCATGACTCATCCCACTGTTTTCAAGAGACGAAAGATGGCTCGATTACGGTTACATGTAAAGGCGACTGGTTGCCTCGTCACCTATTTGGATATTTCTATGCTCTGTTTGCATACATACGGATGATCTATGTCGCTTTGTATTTGGTTTTGTTTTCAAAATACCAAGCGGACGTTGTATTTTGCGATCAAATATCTGCATGCATTCCCGTGCTTAAACTCTCGAAGGCAAAAATATTATTCTACTGTCATTTTCCTGATCAGCTGTTGACAAAGAGACAAAGTTTTGCAAAGAAATTGTATCGTGCTCCGTTAGATTGGCTGGAGGAGAAATCTACAGGTATGCAAAAGTGATGTATGGTTTCATGCATAAATGTACTGCATACCTTGGCTATTGGCTTTGTTTTTGCAGTTGCCCGAGCCTGGGCCATTCCACGAGAATTTCTGAGGTGGTTTGAAAAAGCCGTTTCTGAGGGGTTATGTGCATCGGCATCCTTTGATCTTTGCGTTTTTTTACTGATTCACATCTTAGACCCCGTTTACACGGTACCGGACGAATTTGTGACCGGACGAAAATTTGTCCGTTTCGGCCGTGTAAACACACGAGAACCACGGAACCGGACGAATTTGAGACCCCCTAACAGGACGAATCAAGGGAGCACGCCAAAAAATATTTGTGTAAATTTATACTAACCTTTTAATTACATGTAAATGTTTTCAATTTTCATCGGCCACCATTTTGAATGTTGAAAGCGGTATTAGCTTATCGCAGGCGCAATAATTTATGTTCATCTTTGACATTAATTTATGTTACACGATGATACTCCGAAGGGCGACCGAGAAAGATCCGAAATTTAAAATAAGGCGAAGAAATAATAAAAAATAAAGAGGGGAGTGAAACGGCCGAACACGTGATGGGGTATTGGCCAATGACAATGCGTATATCCAATTTCGTTATCTGGCCATGCTCGTTGACCAAGAACTGTCGAATCTGAAATATATCAAAACTTGTATTGATTTGCATCGTTGCTCGCCAGCAGTGAATTTTCGACAGCAGAGAACAAATACATTTGCGAATGCTGGACACAAAATACAGTATTAATAATTCATGAAGGAAATTCAAAAGAAATGAATGTTTAATCAATGTATGTAAATCGTCGGATAATAGATTTGTAAATTGTCCTCATCTACATAAACTTCAGCTTCGATTTTCTCGGCTTAGACAATGTTTATTTTAAAATTACTTCGCCAATAAACTCATATGATGGGTCGTCTTTTAAGCATGTTAAAACACGAGGAGCCGATGTTTATCTGATATACAAACTCTCGCCATTGTCTCCAATTTTAATAATATATTCTAATGTGACTCCCTTGAACTAATTATAGTAGATCAAATATAAATCAACGGTAAATCCGAAAATAATAAAAAAAAATTATTTTCTACAGTATATTATATTATAATTTGTTGTTCTACAGTATATTATATTAAAATACTCAGTGGTTCCCGTAATAGTAGGTCTCATTTTGTTTCCGGTTTGTTCCTAGCAACATCAAATGTTCCTAGTAACAGTCAACCAGCATGAGTGGATAATAGTTCGGCCGTTTCACTCCCCTCTTTATTTTTTATTATTTCTCCGCCTTATTTTAAATTTCGGATCTTTCTCGGTCGCCCTTCGGAGTATCATCGTGTAACATAAATTAATGTCAAAGATGAACATAAATTATTGCGTCTGCGATAAGCTAATACCGCTTTCAACATTCAAAATGGTGGCTGATGAAAATTGAAAACATTTACATGTAATCACAGATGTAATTAAAAGGTTAGTATAAATTTACACAAATATTTCTGGCGTGCTCCCTTGGACGAATTTGCGTGTAAACAGGCGAAAAAGGACGAATTTTCATCCAGTCCCAAATTCGTCTGGTACCGTGTAAACGGGGTCTTAGATGACAAATTAACCGGATAATAGTGCTCATATTAATTAATATATGATGCTTGCGATTTGCAACTTTTCCTGTGATCAGACAGATCACAGTCATGCAGTAATGACTTAAGCAATTTAGCCGTTTGCAGTGATCAAATATAGTGATTAATAGACCAGGTTTCATTTAGAGCACAACGGGCGTAATTTCAGGGACAGCGGAGCAGCCTCCCCCCCCCTCCCAATAATTTTCCATAGATATGTGATTTTTATAAACTAAGAATACTGAAATCCTTCAGATCAGTTAACAAATGAATATATTTATAACTTATATAGCCAAGTATTCAATCTATTTCTGGTTGGATTAAACAAATGATGGGTAATTATATTAGATTAAGAGTCGTCCTATTAAGAAACTTTCCGAGGCTCTCGGAGGTCTCAGATTTCAAAATTTCCCGGGTGGCATGCCTCCTGACCGCCCTATTAACAAACTCACGGCTTCGGCATTCGCTATAACCCACTTAATATGGCTCTGCAGTACCTGAATTAGCCCTATTCACATTAGAGACGGACAAGTCGTCTAGACAAACAAATCGTCTCTCAAAAATCGTCTTCACAGACGGACAAGTAGTCGAACAAATTCAGACGATAGCCTCCTCCGCAGGCCTCTCTATGGGTTTTAGCCTGCGAATGGGTTTTGAAAAAAAATTTTCTGGGAGAGAGGCCTGCCATAAATCGAACAAAATAGATGTATCTCAAATATTAGTGGCCGTGTTACGTTACCCCACCCCCTAAGTAGGCTTTTGATCCTAATTATATATTCAGTTTGAAATCTTCGGGCGAGGAGCGAAACTTGCAAGTATAAAAAACTTTAAAAATGTTTTGTAATGCGTCGAAATATTCAAGTTATACGAAAATTAATTGGTGAATTCAAAGCATTATATCCTGAATTATATATCGCAATGTTCCTCGCAGTATAAAAACGACGTGCAAATTTTGAATCGTTCACTCAAAGCAGCTAAATGTTTACAATTATTAAATGTATAAATTGTTCAGCCGAGGAATTACAATTTCTGAATTTGAGGAAATTATCTGGCATAATTTCGAACGCAAAACGAAGAATGGAACGATAAGAAAGGTATAATTTGTTTAATAGAGGGATTATATATTAAATTGTATTGTTTTATGGAATAATATTTGTGTTGCCATTTTGATTTATATTTTACTATACTTTTTCAATAGTCAAATCATCAGGCATTTGGCAACATGCTCAGTGAAATGATGTATAAAAGAAAAGATCTTTCTGTTGAAGCAACCATTTCAATAAGTGACTGCAACTTGGAAATATAAACTAACTGTAGAATTTTGTTGGCATCTTAATATAAAGCCTGCATTACATATGCCTACCATATTAATATTATTATTTAATATGCCTAAGATTGATGCATACATTCTTTTGTGAATTATTTGGTTGAACTGGTAACCTGCCAACATACCACAGTATTTGTGAACTAGGCTTCACTCAGGTGAATAATTAAATTTAACTCCCCTCACCCCATTAATGGCTTTAATATCATGTAAATATGCTAAACCTGGTGAAACAGGGTTCATGGTAGGTTTGCTGAATAATTAGGCCAAACACAGTCACACTAGGCCTTTTGTTTTCTTTGTTTTCTAAATGGCACTAATGACGATTTGGCCTAATTATTCATCTAACCTACCAACCCTGTGGTGAAAAGCAGTTGGGATGTGACAACCTCTTTCTAATATAGTATTGTATATGCCTACTTATATATATCTTCCTTGTTCATGCTCAAATAAAATTGCTCTTGACATATATCGCTTTAAAATATAGTAACTCTTGATTGGCATGTATATCACATAAGACCCAATAATGCCCCTATACACACAAGAAGCCCTCTTTGTCTCATCCTTGGCAGGGGCATGCCTGCTTTTACTCTGTCTAACATCAGACAATTTTACTCTTCAGTGGGAGAGTGCAGACAATGAGTTAATCTAAAGCTTACCAAATGTATTCATTGTTGTAAACTTGTCACAGCTTACAGTTAATATATAGCCACCATTGGAAGACTATTACCAGGGTGGTTGCTGTGGAATATAACAATAGCAAAACACTAGCTATCACTGGGACGTTTCCTCAGTGACTGATTGTTACAGGGAAATTTGCCTTACAAAATGGCTTTTATCCATGCAAATATTTTGCCTGTGAACTTGGCAAGCAAAATGGAATGGAATGCCTCCATTGGTTAACAAATCCAAGCCAAATGTTATTAAGACAGGTCTTGATATTCTGTTGCACCACATAAACCGTCACTTGGAAATCTATTAGATTCCTATTAAATTCCAGTTGTCCTTTCCCTTATGTCTAGGCACCTCACACCCATATATTAAAAGTTAAAACAGGGCTATTGATTTAATTAAGAATCAAAGCGTTTGCTATTTAATAAATTTTTGCCACATCTGAGACACTCAAGTTTGAAAACTTTGTCCAAGGCCAAGGGATAAATTGAACAGAGTATTCCGTAATAAGAAAACTTTTATTAACGATTTTCCTTCCATACAAGCGTATTAAAACAATGTTACAAGACAAGAAGTATAAATAGTATATTACCACAGTCACAGATATGTCAACAGTTGAATATATATTGACAATTTTCGCTCGTTCCTTTTCGTGTTATAGTTTCGACTAAATCACTGCACTTTCCGCTTATTATCACATAAAATGTAGTCGACAATTTGAGTAGAAATATGTATATATCAACGATAAACTTTCACTTAAAACCCTGTCTTGACATGAATCGACGGCAACGTGAATATTTGACTGCTCTGGAAAATCACTCGTTGTCTCTAAATAATCCCATTAAATCGCCGTTTCGGGTGACGATAACGTTTTCAGCTCCTTATTCAAAGTTCCCTGTGTATATACAATGTTAAAAAGCAGGATTATTCGTTAATTTTACAGTTTTACTCGTCTTTTAAGCCATCGTGTTGAAAACAAAAATTTCTTCACTCCTTGCCGCAAGCCCTTCCTACTCCCCCTAAGTTTGAGTTTGTCGAAATTTGCATGCGCGAGCCGGTATGCGCAGTGCAAATTTTTGTGTCGATTTATGGCAGGCATCTCACCAAACTTTTTCTCACCACCCGATTCCTCAGCGAGATGCCTGCGGAGGAGGCTATTCAGACGACTTGTTCGTCTAAAATTTTGTCCGACACGTTTTTACATCAGATGATTTGTCCGACTAAAAGACGATTTTGAGACGATTTGTACGTCTAGACGACTTGTCCGTCTTCTAATGTGAAAACGGCTATTCAGTTGACCTCCATCGCAAATTTTATAAGCTTCCATGGCAAGCATGTGGTCGGTACAAGCTCGTTTGTCAATCGGTTGAAATGACCTTACACCTCCCCGCCTGAAGAATTTCCTGAGGACGGCCCTCACCACCTTCGTTTTGCATGTAAACTGACGACTAAAATTTGAGGCCGCTATATACAGTACAGCACAGCATATCCAAAATTTAAAACTTTGTACTTTATGATCGATATTTGCCTGACAATAAGCCTATAAATCACTAAGATCTACTGAAAAGTAAACCTAGGCATTGCAAAAATTCAGGTAAAATGAACTAGCAAGTTAGCAATTGTAAAACTATAGTTAGTAATAGTTTGATTTCACAACTGACAAGCGACAAACGCTATATCTATTTTAATTTAATTAAATTAAAATAGATTTGAAAATGTTTTTGTATTGTCATATATATATATATATTGCTGTAAATCTACAGCATGTGCAGTGCACACAACTGCATGTGATTGGCTGTCTAATTTTAGCTTGCAAGAACAAAAAAGCATATATATGCTAGCTGCATTTCTCCCAACTGGCCAGCCGTCCCTGATAGGTCTAATTAACGTATATAAATTTTTCACTCGATCATTTCATCTACAAGACCCATCGACTACTATTCAATCTAGTGAGATGGTAACAAAATCTTTAGATTTACCCATACCTTAACATAGGAGTAGTGAGTACCCTAGTATATATACATGAACTTGTGGTTAGAGCGCTCAGTTGGTTAGAGGGCTCAGTTGGTTAGAGCGCTGCACCGGAATCGCTGGGCCGCGGGTTTGATTCCTGCATGCCAGAAGACGTATCTACAGGGTGTATAAAAAAAAACTGAACAGATTTGAAATTGCTCTCAATTTCGCAAAACACCAATTTGTATCCGGTTTTTTATAGATATGGCTTCTTCGGGTACTTAGAATGTAGAATAATGAAAAAAATTTCTTGAACTCAAATATTGTGAACCAGGGGGGGTGTCTTTTCCAACAAAATAAAAATGGCTTGCGCACAAAATTTAAAAGCTGTAATCATATTTTGAGTTAATAGATGGAAAATTTGTCGGGTTTTTCATTACTGTACAAAATTTCAGACAATTTGGTTTAGTTTAAGCCGTTTAACTATTCACGCAAAGTTACATTTTTCCTAAAAATCAGCTATTTGCATGCTTAATTAATGCATTTCCTAATTTGCATATGTTAGCAATATGCAAATTAAGTAAATGCATTAATTAAGCATGCGAAAGGCTGATTTTTTAGAATAAAATGAATAGTTAAACGGCTTAAACTAAACCAAATTGTCTGAAATGTTGTACAGTAATTAAAAACCAAACAAAGTTTCCATCTATTAACTCAAAATATGATTAAAGCTTTTAAATTTGGTGCGCGAGCCATTTTTAGTTTGTTGGAAAAGACACACCCCCCTGGTTCACCAAATTTGAGTTTGAGAATTTTTTTTCATTATTCTACATTATAAGTAGCCAAAGAAGCTATATAATTATATAAAAAACTGGATACAAATAGGTGTTTTGCGAAATTGAGAGCGATTTCAAATCTGTTCAATTTTTTTTTATACACCCTGTATAGTTGCATTTTTCGCAGCTCTGTTTCTGGTTCTGGTAATATATGAAATTTACACTTGATAATTTTCATCAAATCCCATCAACTATTATTCAATCGAATGAGATGCCAACAAAATCTTGGTTCTTAACCAACTAGTTAAAGCATGCTGGTTTTACCAAGGCAGCTGGTCATAGTGTCATACTACAGTATATAGTAAACCTAGAACCTTATCTAAATAGGATACAGATAATTCATTTTAAAATGTTTGAATAATGAAAATCGTTAAAATTTGCATGACCTATTGCGATGGCTAGCTCGTCACTGGTTTATTCTGTATGCGCTATATAAAGCCTATAGTTTCCATATTGTCGTTAATTTAAATTATCGTAAAAATAGAGTCATGATCTTTCTCAACGACCTGTTTATATAATAGTTTTTATTATATGGCTTTTCAAAATTCTCTATTCTGTTTGGTTGACAAGCGGTCGGTCCGTAAAAACCAATATCCGGACCGTGGTCCGTATTTTCCATATCTGGACCGGTGTCCCGGATGTCGTTTATCTGGCGAGGAATTTTTTGCTTTGCAAACAGAAAACATTTTTGCTTTTTAATTTTCCAATTATGTGTCATTAAAATTTACAGATAAAAATTTCAAACAACCAAATTGTTTTTGATTGAGCATGCATGCCTACGGTACAGTATATTGTTACCCAGTGAAACTGACGATAGCCGATCTAATTCGTGCGAAAAGCGTATGCTCACAGACTCAGTTCAGCCATATAATAAACCGATTATTGACCTCGCTTGTTCGGTCTGTAATGTCAAATATCAGACCTTTGTTTTTTGCATGGACCTCGCTCCTTCGTCGCTCGGTCCATACTAAAAAACCTCGGTCTGATATTTCACAGTACAGACCTCACGCTCAGTCAATAAGCCGTTAATATTATTCTGTAATAAAACCACATATAAATCATGAGTATTCTCTAGTTATAATCACTCCGCGTATTTTCAGTTCTAAAATGTTGGAATTCGGCTGATGAGAAAGATCGTGACTCAATCTTTACTACCGTTACGACCATATGGAAAGCACGCTTATATGATTTTTTTGTTTCTATGTTGGTGTTGTGTACTCAGGTGAATATGATGTTTGTGATGTTAACGGTGTGGATATACACTCAGAGTAACATCACAGACATCACGCTTATATGTTGTTCATTTTTTTTCTACTGTAGGCATGGCAGACTGTGTCCTTGTTAACAGCAACTTCACAGCACAGACATTCTTTAGAACTTTTACCTCCTTAACCAATACGAATCCGAGAGTACTGTACCCATCACTGAATTTTAAAGCCTATGATGCAGAAATTGACTTGTGCGACAGCATAGAAGGAATTCCATCAATTGCGAAAGTAGTATTTTTATCAATCAATCGGTTCGAACGAAAAAAGAATCTACAGTTGGCGCTTAAAGCTTTGGAAAATTTGAAAAGTAAAATCTCATCAGAAGAATGGAAAACAACTCACTTGGTTATGGCAGGTATACAATGTCTAATATGCTACTTAAGCATCGGTCAGACGAAGCGAGAGTTTTCTTCAACTCTCGTGCCCCGGTGGCTACACCTCCCTGCAATATTTCACCTGCACTATACGTTTTTATAACGCTTTTCATTGGCTGGCCGGTCAAGAAACGTGTCAGTCATCAGCCTCAACGACCACACCTCCCAATTTTCGGCAATCATTCCAAAAAATCACATGATTAGAAAATTCGGCGATGATTGCTGGAAGCTTAGCGCTGCTGTCACAGAGCATGATACACAAGCAATTTCTTTCGCACGACGGCAGTGCAACGATTTTACCACACATTGCATTGCCGTCGGCAGAAAAATATTGGCAGTGTATACGTAGCTTAAAGGGATATGGCAGTATAAATTAAGTTTTTCTTATTTGAAAGAACATCTAAAATGATATTTTAACTTCCTTTACAATTGTTCCGTATCTTCCTTGGTTTTCGAAATAAATCGACTTATTTTGATCAAAAGCAGCGTGCATTCCGCCATCTTTGATATGTATTCGATATGCGTGCGTCACAAGAAGAGTATAAAGCGAAATTTTTACCTCGGAAACCACATGTCATTATCAATATGAAACTCGATTTTCCGAAGTCTTTTAACTCACAACGTTTTAGGAAACTTTTCGAAGAAATATAGTCCCGCATGAAGAAGTTTTAGCACGTTTACCATGCTTGTGAACGTGATAAAAACTCAGTTAATTAGTTCAATTATAATACCAAGATGGCGGACTGCACACTGTTTTTGGTCAAAATATTTCGAAAACCAAACATGGTTAGGTACGAAAAAGTTGTAAATGGTCTTCATTTATAACTTTAAAAGTTTATAACTGTCAAATAAGACGATGTTAATTTTTATTGCCATATCCCTTTAACTCTCTTCAAAACTTGAAGCAGTTCAAAGTTGATGAGAGTGCACGAGAGTCGATGAAAGTTGGTCGTCAAATGACTTCCTGTTAGCTTTTGACTGTCAATATGTTACCGAATAATGACGGTGGCAGTCCCTAGCTTTCACACCCCACTCCTTCAAGTGTCCATCACTGCATGGTCCGTGGTCTGTTGATAGCGGGTTTCGTCCATCGTGTACAATATTCCAGCTCAATGTACAGGGTGTCTAAAAAAAAACACTATGGAAACTCAACAGGCTGTTGTGCATCACAAACTTATCTAAACAGTTCAATTTTTACATAGGACGAAAGAGCTGTTATTTAGCTTTTCTATGATACCTTTCTTAAACCGTAACAATGAGAAATGGCGACACCCTCATCAAATAAAATTTGTCGGTCGAAATCACATTCTTCCACCGTTGGGAATTGAAAATACATTAATTATGCAGAGTTAATCAATCCAAAAGCAACGCGAGCCTTCTGCAAGGGATTTGTTTCGTAAGACGTTTTGATTATGAATGTTCTCTGTTCAGTGGTTAATGAACCATGTTTAATGCAATAATGGACGTTCTTATGGTCTCACTAAGACAAAGATTGACGATTTGAGCTTATTTTAGATAATCTAACATTCAATTTTAATTCCCTCTTGGGAATTGTTTATTGTTCGTTTTCCATGCAACTCCCAACGGTGGAAGAATGTGATTTCGACCGGCAATTTTTATTTGGCGAGTATGTGGCCATTTCTCATCGTTACGGTTTAAAAAGAGTATCATTGAAATGCTAAATAACTGCTCTTTCGTCCTATGTAAAAATTGAATTGTTTAGCCACATGTATGAAGCACGACAGCCTGTTGAACTTCCGCAGCGTTTTTTTTAGACACCCTGTATAGCTGCATGTGCACGTGGTCACGAACTTACCATTCCTGTTTCGCTTCTTCTTTACAGGCGGTTATGACGAACGTGTCGCCGAAAACAAAGAGCACTATCTCGAGTTGCTAGATTTTGCTAAAGAAAACAATATCAGCGACCATGTGACATTAATCAGATCATTCAGCGATCAGGAAAAATTAACTCTATTTGCAAGATCCTCGTGCTTAATCTACACCCCAACAAACGAACACTTCGGCATAGTTCCCATCGAAGCAATGTATATGCGCCGTCCCGTGATTGCTGTTAACACGGGAGGACCTCTCGAGACTGTCCTGCATGAAGAGACTGGATATTTGTGCGAGCCGAACGAAGAAGCGTTTTCAGACGCGATGCGAAATGTTATAAAAGAATCGGATATAGTTGAGACATTTGGAAAAAGGGGCCGCCAACACGTGATTAGTAACTTCTCTTTTGACGCATTCAGTGAAAATCTGGATAAAATAGTATGTCGGTTACATTTCTTCAATTTTGATGTATATTCTGTTGATTGATCAGTGGCAGGGATTAATATACAAACATTTTTCTATTATCGGTGCCCGGTAGTAAAAATTCAATATGTATTTCGATAGTTTTCGAAATTGTGGTAGATGTGAATACTTACCTGTAAAAGGAACAACGAGACGTACTTGCACGGTCGTATACTTCAACACGCCATTAAAAAAATGTTTTAAAACTGTTGGATTTTTGCTCAAAAGTGCTGTCTGAATTCTGGAAATGTTATTTCATAGAGACAAAATCCACAATTGTCCAGGGAGTGAGTTTCTTTTTGTGGTATAGTGGGAGACCGTTCTCCTCCTAAAGCTCAATCTTCTTCCGAAAAAAACGGTAGTTGATTGAAATGTTTGTATTTTATCCATGTTTATATACCTTGTATGGCATTGCGAGGACAACTCGTGGCCATTAGAAGTTATAAGAGATTGCATTGATATTAAAAGTGTAGCGCAAATTAGTATAAGTTAGCCGTAAGAGAGCGTTATCTTAAAACTCGATTTGGAATTTGCCGTTTACAGTGGTTTGGCGTAAACGTGAATTTTGAGGTCTCTATATTATTGTTGCGAATAGCACTATAGTATGCTTGTTGCTGTAGTTGTAGCTCTTAAATACCCATACATGAACTGCATGCCTACGTCAATCTGAACTTTGAAGTCAGGTCCCGTTTACCTAAGACCGGCACGAATATAACATACTTTTTCTTTCAGTTTATTCCCCTTGCCCGCCATTATCTTTTTTCTACAGTGCTTTGTGACCATGCATTGTTCGAAAATCCAGGGCACAGCCGACACCTGTCTGAAATGCATGTGTGTTCACATCCATCCCGCCGCGAATTCATCCCGGTCTGAAGATTGTCGGTTCGACCCAGCGAGCGGGATAACTTAAGACCGGTCTGAGTAATTTTGTAAACGGGCCCTGCATGGTCAAACGAGAATGCGAGTTTATGACAGTTGAGAAGCGAGAGTTTGCATGAGAGCTTCTTTGAACACTCGTGCCCTGGTCAAACGATAACAAGAGTTGCATGAGAGTTGACCGCGACTATATATATACTATTGTGGGGTACATTGCCTCCATCTTATCACCTTTTCTTGCTAGCAAAAATTGGAATATATATACTATACTGTATAACCAACAAACGATTTCGTTCATCATTGTTGAAAAAGTATTGAGTTATTCATGCAGCTATATACCATTCAAAGCAAGGCCGGAATTTGGTGGAATTACTGGGGGAGGGGGAAAACAATTTAGGGGAGGTGCAGCGGTCTAGCTCATGGCACCTATGCCATGGAAAGTTAGGGCTTAGAACGTGCCAAAGTCAACGACCTGACGTATGCATGTAGTGTACATATGTATCCAGGGAATTCTGACTGTACAACTCATCCAATTTTGCCCTTCATTACAATTACTACGAAGTTTCTTTTAAAATATTGCATTAAAAGGGTTGAATGCTTTTACACGAATGCTTTTACACTCGGCTGAGCATTGTATGGTGTACGGCGTGAAAGTGTTTTCCATTTATTTTGCAGGTAAAGAATTTGCAGAATTATGAGAGCAGTGTTATGGTATCATCCGTTATGTGGTCAATACTAATATTAGTTGCTGTTATTGTCATTCTATTTTGGTTGTTTAAATAGGTTATAATACAATTATGCGAAGAGTAGCAATTGCTTTGGATATTTTCAGGACCCGCAAAATCTGTTGGGCAACTAAAACTGTTGAGTCTGAGTTTTGACGCATCGAGAACACGTTGAAATAACCTGGTACACGCGTACACTATTTTTCAATTTTCCATCAATTTTCACAGCTAATATAATTTTAGTCAATTTATTCGATTCTGGTTGGTTAAAACCGTGCCGATTAAAGATGGAGGGTTATAAATTCTGCATGTGTCGCTGTTCATGAGTTGAGGTCAGTGGTTTGGGTTAGAATCAGGGTAAGCAGGGTTCGTAGCGGTCTTTGAAATCCTTGAAAGTCTTTAAATTTGAATGCAGGTCTTTAAGGTCTTTGAATTGTGTGAAAAAGCGAAGAAAGTCTTTAAAAGTCTCTAAATTCTTTAGTGAGTGGTCGATTATACGATTTCCTAGTTAATATATAGATTGATTGAAGCAAGCTTTTCGCAAATATCGACGAAAAGCCGCATTTTAGGATATGATTTGACGGGACTAATTACCGGATAAAAATGGTGCTTACACTCGCAATTTTTCGACAAGTGATTGCTCTCAAAGGTCTTTGAAAAGTCTTTCAAAATAGGCAGAAAAAATCTTTGAATTTTTTTTTGTCTTGGAGACTACGAACTATAAGGATAGGGCTCAGCATTCATAAACAGCGAGACATGAATCTATAACACTGATCTGAAATAGGACTGGATAAAGCATCCTATTGAATTCAGTAATCCGATTTTGAAGCCAGAATATTTTAATGAGATTAGATTTATATAAATCAGTCAAATTCATGACCAGTCTAGTCGTTTGCTATTTAAGTTCAGTTAGACTATAAAGCAAATATCATCGCCTATGTGACTTGTGAAATATAGCTTCCAAAACATCTTCGAAAGAGTTTTAGAACGTTTTATACACCATCTAATAACAGAGGCTACTGATGATAAATTCTTATCTAGGCAATATTTGTCCTTTCCCACTATAGTGACTAGAAACGTAAAGGAAGAGTTAAACATGTCCACAACACCAGATGAGATTAATGATGGGTCCATCCAATATGGCCGCCATTGGCTTCACTTATATCCGTGCACAGCAGATGCTTTGTCCAGTATTATTATTTTAGATCTCTGATCTATAACATGCAGATTAGCCGGCACGAATACGAGCCCGCGTGCATTTCGCACGAGTGCAGAAATTTACGAGAAAATTTATATTTTCTGAGCTGTAATTTTCCAATGAACTATTGAACAACAGGTACCATGGGGCTCCCCCGTTATATAGTTAAAAAAGGCCCTGTTATTGTACATACATCACATACAGACTAACCTTATACTGCAGCGTGCTAGACTTGGATCCCGTGCAATCACGCGGGAAAGTTCGAGGGCCACTTTCTTGCACCTCGCGCTCGATTTTGTCGCTTCGCGACTCGGTCTCTAGAGAGACGGACTTGATCCAAGTCTAACTGCGTGCATGCATGTTGCATGTCAATAATGCATACTTTGTAAAATGGTGAGACAACTGAGAAATTAATTTTCAATACAGCAGAATGACTTAATTTTCAATACAGCCGAATTTCTTCGCACGAATAAGCGGAAACAAATCCGTGGCAATTTGTTCGCGCGAAAAAGTTGGATCAGTTCCTACTCTTTTACTGTTCGCGCGAACAAATTTGCCTAGTGGAAAATGGGCTGAAGAACTTGTTTTAACGTCGACGATCCTCCGTCGTACAAAACCGTATGTCCAAACTCTTTCCGTACGTAGTCTAGCTGTTTTAATCTCGTGCAGCATGTCGTATGTTGTAGTATACTTGACGTCGTTGTTCCGGATTCCCTGTCTTGAATTGTAAATGTATTTTAAGGGAAAACTAATAAATAGAATTGTTATATAGCTAGGGTGGACACCAAACGTGATTGGCTGATTGTGGTCACGTGGCTTTAGATAAATGCAATGTATCAGCCGTTCCGCAGTTGTAAAGCCATTGTATGCAATATTGGATTGTAATGGGTCTATAATATAATTACAATAACCCTAATCCAAACGCCAACCCTAACCTCTCTAACCCCTTACCCTAAAGTTGATGACCTTCTTTTAATAATGACCCTTTTTTTAATCTCGAATCTCAATGTTTGAGACTCAAACATTGAGACTCTCGGGGAAACAAAACTCAGTTTTCCCTCGGGAGCGGACATTAAAGCCCCGTTTACACTACGCTCAGTTTTTGGTACGGCACGGGTAAAATTGGTACACGTACCACTTTTTTGTTTTTGGACTACCTATTTAGCTAAGTCCCGTTTACACTTCGCTCAATTTTTGGTACCGTACCACTTTTTGGTTCTTGGACTACCTAAATAGGTAGTCCAAGAACCAAAAAATGGTACGGGTACCAATTTTATCCGTGCCGTACCAAAAATTGAGAGCGTATAGTGTAAACGGGGCTTAAGTGTGTACAATAAACAATCTTTACTCCTTTACTTCTCAGCAATTGGCAGAAATCGGTATATCTACTCGTCACCGAAAATTAAGGACTTGATAATATGTAGTTATTTTAGGGCACGGAAGGAAATTCACCAAAAGACAGTCTCAGCCACCTTTCAGTCCAATTCAATATCTCGCCCACTCTTTTTCGAAAATGCGTGGGCAAGCAATCAGTTGGTAATTATGTCGAGTATCTGATTGAGGAAAGAAAAATCTCGAAATGTTGTGGAATCCGGACTATGTAATTACGTAAAAATGTTTCCATACCACGCGAACAAAAGTGGACTTTTTAAGTTTGTATTTCCAAATGTGACAGTTTTGAACCGGACGCCATATATAAATATTTCTCAAAAGTCAAAGCTATATTTAGAGCGGGGGAAACTTTCGTAGTGTTACGTAATGTTACAAGCTCAATAATTTAAACTTCCACTTGGTTATGACTCTATTCAATTTTGTAAATTTTTGACGCGTTTGCCAATTAAGCGGCAAAGATTTTAGCCTGTACGCCAAAGAGAAAATGATGTCTAAAGCTTATATTGCTGTATGAATGTGACGTCAATTTTACATCATAAATGGATTAAATTTGACAATATAATATTAAACTATTGAGTATTGTATTTTCTGTTTTTCAATCGCGGATCATAGCACATTTACTAGAAAGGTAGCCAACTGTGTAACTACAAAATAGAGTTAAAACAAAGTAATTTTGCGTGGAACGCGAAAAAGATCAATCGAAAGCTGTTTATTACCCGCGCCTAAAACAGCTTATAACTACGCCTCGTTCGATACTACACAGACACAGTCGGTAAGGCATTTTCTTGTTTATTATATATAAAAATTGCAAGTCATAATTTGTCTTTCGGTTCCAGCCTCGTTTCCAGCTGTGTAGCCACCTTTCTTCAGGATGCCACAACGCACGTGAGTTTCTCACTGAAAACTCATCATGTAAAAGTTTTAACTACCACAGGCACATTCCCAGGATGAATATTGGGAAAAAATCCAACTTATTCCGTCGGTTGTAAACTGTTATAAAATGTGTGCACCTTATAGTATAAAGAAATATATATTTTTTTATCTGTTTTCACTTTAAATGAAATGAAAACAATAATCAGTCGGGCACTAATCAAATCGACAAATTACGTAATCTGTCTATGCTCGAAATGACGTAATCAAAGCGAGAAGGCAACGGCTGAAACATGCTTCATTACGCTGTAACTGCTCGTATAAACGACAGTAAACGAAACAAACAAAACCATGGTCTTAAAGTGTCTATGACATGAAATAAAAAATTAAATGTTTCAACACAAAGTAAAACATATAATACTCGAAAATCACTTTGGAAAATTTGGTATCATTCTGATAAATTCTACTTGCGTTAGAAGCTTGTGAATCTTGGCTAAATAGCAGAAATTTAGCGTATTCTGTACCCGAAAGCTGAGTTTTACAAATTTGCCGACGTAATTCACTAGGTCAGTAGGTGTCTGAATCCTGAATTAGTGAATTATATGCTATATACTCAGTATGTATGATTGCAGATCCTGAACTTGATGTGTGCTATGTGATGGCAGATTCGATCCTGACTCATTTTGTGCTGACTATGTCTATACATATCGAATGACAGTATATAGACATAGTCAGCACAAAATTTGTGATTTCACCGCAAATAATCTGAAATGAATGGCAAATGGAAATGCATTGGAACCAGCCAGTACATCAGAGCATAACAAAACATAAATTTATCACGTAACGTTTATGTTTGGTAACTTGGGTTTTAGTTCACTATTATTAGTATTAGCGAAAACGGCAGGGTAATAAAAAATAATGACTTTCGATACAGAATAAGGAAACGAACTGTGCAAACGCGCTCAAAACCGCACGATCGGTATCAGCCGGTCAGTGAGTGCATTTGATTTGGCTAGTCATCGCTGAGTCAGCAAATTTATAATCCATAATTATATCCCATGCTGCTTTGTGGCATATGTTTACAATTATAATCGTCATTGCCTGAAAATGAAAGTTGTCGTAATCGGACCAAAATTACGGTTGAAATAATCACGGATTTGTCGAGTTTTAGTTTATCACATTGAAAACCCACCGAAGACAAGAGACCACAAAACCTTTGCAATGGAAGGCGCCGTAAACAACAGCTGTGTGGCTAGCGAAACGGAAGACGAATCGATATTCGCTGGCGTTATTTTCCACAACGTTCAAGACACATACATACCCGGAAAGGACATACGTTGTTGTTATTCAATCAAACCGTCTGTTTCGACGACGGCAAACGACTGGATAGGGCTGTACAAAGTCGGTTGGCAGTCCCCGAAGGAGTATTTGTGCTATGAATATTCGCCGGTCCTCGAAAGTATTTCGCTAACTGCCTCGCTGTCTATTCAAAATTATGTTGTATTTCGCGGTAGCAAATTGCCCTCGGAGGAATGCGAATTCTACCAGTTTTGTTATGTGACGAGCAGCGGCGAAATTCGCGGTGCCAGTTATCCGTTCCAGATCAGTTTTACGAAGCCAGGCGAACTGGAAATATGCAGCGAGGAAGGTGACGAAAGCTTGCTGATTGTGAACAATCGTACGACCCTGCTCGAAGATTCTCTCGCGAAAACCTACAACGCGAATGCCGAATTGAAAGCTTCGAAAGAGAAAATCGAGGCGGATTGCTTGAATCTTCAGGATATGATTCTGAAGCTGGAAGCAAAAAAGGCCGACGTGGACTCCCGGAATGAAAAACAGAAAAAGATGCTGGAAAAAGCAATGTCGGAGAAAACCCATTTCGAAGAATCATATAAGGAGACACTCGAACTGTTCAATACCTCCCAGACTGCCTTGAAACTAGCCAATGAGAAAACAGCAGAAGTTCAAGAGCAGTTGGCTAATGAAAGAATTCAGCATGTACGAACAAGTTCGGAACAGCAGAAGTTTGAAGAAGAGAAGTGTCGTTTCATGGAAGTGATTGCTCACAAAGACGGCATCATCCAAGGCTTTCTTGGCACCATTGAAGAGAATAGTGGCAAGACAGCTGCTTTGGAAAGCGAGATTCAGAAACTGAAATTTGAAAAAGCCACCCTGCAGGAAAATTTTGATAACCTTGTTGTCGAGAAGGCGAAGAGTGATGATTCGTTGAAAAAATCGGAACAAGCGTATGATGCCTTGGAAAAATCCCAGGCTGAAAACTTTGAACAAGTTTACAAATTACAAGCTGAGAATTCAAAGATGAAAGAGGAATCAGCCGTCGTTCGGGAGCGATTGGAAGAGATGTCAGATTGGTTCAGCAATCAACAGGCGTCTATGGAACAAAAACACTTGAACGAATGTTGTGATCTCGAGAACAAAATTGAAACTATCACATCGCAGTTGGATGGTGCCAAACAGGAGTTGGCTCTTGGCAAGGAGAAGCTTGACGAAGCTATTTCAGTGCTTGATAAGGAGCGAAAAGCCAGCCGAGAAATCGTCGAAGGGTACGAAGGTTCCATTCTAAAAATGCAAGAGCAGCTGAACCAAGAGAGAGCATTCAATAAGTCGTTGAGTTCTGCATCTGATAGCCAAGTCGCAGAACTTCAAGAACAGTTAAATGCCCAATTGCAGAAGAATTCTTCAGCTTTGAAACAGACCGAAGACCAGAGTCAAGAAATAAAACGTCTGGAAGAGATTGTAAAATTGAACAAGGCGGAAATTGAAAGAATGCAAAATGAAATTGAGGAACGAGAACAGCAACTGGACTCGATCGAAAAGCAGGAGAAGGAAAGTTTACAGTCAACTGCATCCAATAGTGGCAATACTGAAAAGAATGCTGCTTTGGAGGGGTCGTATTTCGCCTTGAAAACAGCTCATGAGCAACTGAGAAAGCAGTATCTACAAGCGAAGGAAGATATGAAGAATCTTTGGAGACAAAAGGGTGATCTGAAGCGACAACTGGAGACAGTGCAATCAGAGCTGCCCGATTCCTACCTGCGGTTGCAAATGGCAAACTTGAAAAAGCAGATTGAAGATCTTCGTATTCGATTGAATATGGGAGCCGAAGCATACAAATCGAAGTTTAAAGAATGCCAGAAGTATGAAAAGCAACTCAAGAAGGTGCAAAAAGATTCCAACAATCCTTCAAACCCAGAAAGTCCGTCATCCACGGTCGAGTTTGAGATGAGAAATCTTCAACAGTCACTTGAGAACGAGAAAACAACTTCAGCAGCCTTGAAGAAATCTTTGGAGAACTACAAGAGAGATGCACATGAAGTAAAAGAAGAGCTGTCAAAGGTACAGTAAAATGCTTTTATAACTATTACAAACAAATCGAGTTGCAAAGATATAATTTATTTTCAGTTGCAGTTCTTTGCAACTGGATTGGAATACATTCTTTCAAAATACTTCCTTGGTCTTTGCTCTTGTGAATCTAAAGGAAGTGCTGATAACTCAGAATTCACCAGAACAAGACTTCTGGGCTATGAAAGGATTTGTGAGATCATTATTGAAAATGTGCATTGTTCATTTAACCCAATGAGTTGGATTGCGCCCTAATGCTCCCAACTTTAATATTTTACTATTTTATTTTTGAATGGAAAAACTGAAGTTTTACCATCATTGGTTACTACAGATTTCCCATGTGGTACTGTAAATTAGTAAAAAGTGTGATGTTTTATACTTACAGTACCAGGCAAATACCATTAAATGGTAAATATAAATTTAAAGTTTAACATGGTTTTTACCAATTTGGCAATAGGAGGAAATGAGTAATAACCATTAGTATAATTACAAAGGTGATTATCGAAAATTGTGGCCGCTGATTGGTCAAGCGACCTCGGATTATTACGCGATAATCACCTAAGCGTTTTTTTTTTCAAAATGGCGGCGAGTTGTTTTGCCAAAGTGACAGATAAAGAAATAAGTAATTTTAAAGAAAATGCTGTACCTAAGAGCACGAAAGAAGAGACAAAATTTGGCTTAAAATTATTTCGAGGTAGGAAACTAAGTTGCAGAAATCTGCTTAACTTTATTTCGCATAAAACATCGTTTTATTTTAAATTGCCGTACAATTGTGAATTGTCTAGACATTTGTTTACGTTTGTAAAAATATATTTTCTACAGATTAGTTTCAACAACAGTCAGAATGCACAAATGAGTTTGAAGACATGAGTATTGACGAAATGAACCGAATTTTTATCAAAATTCTATACCTTTCTGTAAGAAAAAGTGATAGAAATTACTACAAAAAACATCCTTGAATCTTGATGGCGATACGAGCGCCTTCATTGCGCATACCGCTTTCTTTATGAATTT